CTTTTTTAGATACTATTGAATAAATAGAATGATGATTTGAGTGTTTTAATTTATTTTCATCGTAATTTGTAATATGTATAATTGTAGATTGAGTAAAAAAACTAAAATATACAGCTCCCTTTTTGTTGGAAGTTGGAACTGAATTTTGCTCCTATTTCTTACATGACTATTTGCAGCATACAATACAATGTAGTGGATGGGAAATTTTAAGTATGAAAAATATTCGGATATTTGCAAATTAAATGCGTTTCAGGTGCCATTTTATAACATTTTTCTTCAGCTAAACATTACAGTGATTTGTTTGTCATGTTTGTACTTAGAATGTCAATTTTTTATTTATTCCAGTTCACAGACAACAAAAGAAGTGGTGACTTTGTTACTTAAGAAGTTCCATATATTGGACCATCCGAGAAAATTCGCCTTGTACGAGCAAGAACTCAAAAATAATAAAATAGGTATGACCAAAATTTTATGTATTTTAACTGAAATAACTTGTCCGTCGAATTTGAATGGTCCTTTGAGATGATATTTAAGGGGCTTCTGTATTTCGATCATGCCTGACTTTATACAGATGGCAAAGGTATTACATTATCACTGCTTATATTCAAAGTGGTAAATATCATTGCAGAAATCTGTATATTTTATTTACAGTCTTATTTTTGAAGAATTTTGGCTGTGTGGCTGAGTTGTATGTACTCGGCCATCAGTGCAAAGGCGGTTGATTTTTCCATAATAATGATAATAATTATAACAATAATAATAAAGGCTTTATTTAACGAGGCTACATATTCGCCAAAACGATCTTCCATATGTAACAAGAATTTAACCATCTAACTTGCAAAAAGTCAGAAAGTAGTTCTATTCAAGTGCGGCTGCCTGCTCATCCCTTTGACAGTGAAGGTTTTCACTAAAGTTCTTCTTCCATTAGGAAAGGCTTTTGAAAGTTGCAAAACAGTGGACTTATTAACGAAAACACAGACAAAAGAATAAAAGTATAAAACCAAACAAGTTTCAAATCTTAATTTTCAGGAAACAGAATGATACTTGCTGACAGAAAAATATGCATTTTTGTCAAGTGGTGTTTGGAATATAAATTATATGCCTTTTGTGGATTGGAACATGGCATGTTATGCAGCATGTTTTTTGAGAATTCTTTACTTGCAAAAAAATGATGTTTTAAGTGGCATGTATCTTGTTTCAAGTGTTTGTTTATAAACTCTAGTATCCTTTATAAGAATGTGACATTTACAATGTTTTGTCATCTTTTCTATAAACAGCCCGATTAAGACGAGTTAAAGATACGGAATTCCCGCTGGCGATATGTCTGAGCTGGGATCTAGAAAATGCTCACAATCACAGACTGGTACTGCAGGAAAATGAGACTGGTGAAATCGATGTAAGTATATACATGTATATTGTTGCTTCCTTTCAATATCCTGGGTACGAAATTTCATGGTTTTGTCACATACGGTAGGACACTTTTCGGGAGTTCTTTACTTTAAGAATTGCCTATTTTTGCAAAATGTAAGTTGCAAATTAATGGAAAATAATCTTACATAAGACAAAATGGAATTTCGTTTATCTTAAATTTCTTAGATGGACTTACCCACGAAATCCACCAAAATTATTGCCCCTATTGTAATGATGATTTGACAGTATAATTATTATGTCCTTGATAGGCGATACAAGATTTTTGTTGTTTGACATTTGACAGTAATGATAAAAATAATTTCTATTACATGTGAAATATTCTACATTTCCAAATTATTCACGCATTCATTATCAATACCTATATGATTTGCTTGGTAGTTCAAAAATGGTAAAAAAAATGCCTATCTTAAGTACTTTACATTCAATACTTCATGTCTACCTATAAATCTGTTATGATAGTTTCTGACGTACCTACAAAGTATTATTATCTTTAAATTAAAAACAAAAAGGCAAATAAAACATAGCTTTTTCACTGTACATGTATGCAGTAAAATGCATGTACACAGATTTGTTCATGTTTCCGAGTGCCGTTAATTGATTCGCCATCAATAAGTGAGAGTTGATGATTACGAATGATTGCTCATTAGTTGTTGAAGTTATTGTATCAATACACTTATACCTAATGATACTTCTCGACTTTATACTACTTAAAAGTGCGGTATTAAATGTAGATCACAGAAATGTTCGGCTAAAAGTGCATCGAACGCTGATCTGTATCGTGAAGCACTCCTTGTGTCTCAAGACCTCTGTTGTTGGCATTAAAGCTAGTACTTGTCTCTCTGATCTGGTAATAAACGACAACCAATCAAATTAGTCATGTGGTCGGGGAATAATGTAAGAGCGAGGTCAGGACAAAGAACTTGTTTACAGTAATAAGACTTATAATAATTATTAGATAAGGTAATGTTGGCCAGAAAGAAAAATATATTTTTAATTTTAAACATTATGTTAAACCTGAACAACCCACTATTCTTAACACTATGTACCCGACTTTTGGCACTTAACCTTATCACATGAACCTTGATGAACATTTGCCTTAATTTTCAAAGACTGTTTTCTCTTGTAAGAAAAATGTCCTACCTATTTTAAGTATTTAAAAGTTAAGAGTTGTGTCCCTTGACAGGTAAAGAATATAATGGCTTAAAGTGACTCCAACTGAGGTTTTTTTTTTTTGACATGAAGGGATTGAAAAATTTTATTGAGACTTGCGGTGTACCATTTGATGTAGGTCTGGACTAATAACTTGTGTGCAAGATTTCAGATCATTCGTTGGTTAAGTTTTAGATTAAATTATTTTAATCGACCAAAGTTACTAAAAATGACAGAAAAATGTTGCCACGTATTTCATTCAAACCATGTATATACTACAAAAAAAAAAAAAAATTTTTTTAATTTATCTGCGGTTATTTCTTTAATATTTTCTCCTTTTTTCCCATTTCAAGTGCACTACTTGATCTTTGCAAGAATTCCATATTTTATGTTTTTAGGCTTTTTTACCTCAGACTAAGTTTTCATGTCAATTAAGTTTGAATAATCAAGATTTCTAAAGGAGTTTTTTTGCCAGAGTGACATCTATCACTATCAAATAAGAAGCTTAAAACTAATACTTTCAATTCTAGAAAATATGCTCATGAAATTTATGGAATTCTAAGAATAACAAATCCTGTAGAATTCCTATTAATACCCAGCTTAATTCTGTAGTTGATGAATTGATTATTTACCACCAATGACACTTGTTGGTATCCTTGGTCTGGTAATTAACCGAGAAAGTAGGAGTTCTAGAGAAAACCGTTGTCTGTGTAACGGTGAACATACAAGTCTGGTTAGCACTTCGTTAATGTAATATTGATACATTTATATTGTTAATTGGCTGCAAATGTGTAATAGGAACTGCTAGGTCTGTAATGTAATGGGGAGAAGATACTATTTGTTGTTGTTTTTGTTTTTATTTATGACTATGGTCAATATAGTGTCAGAAATTCATTCTCGGCTAGTAAATTAATTTTCAGGTGAATTCTTTCTCGGGTATGCACATGAGCTACCGATATATATATTTGGTAATGTTTATTGAAGCTAGTTTTAATCCCATTTGATCAATTTAAAAGACTGATTTCTGGTTCCATTGATAAAGTTTGAATCCTAGGCCAGGCATAAATTTTTGTGCTTTTGATGGTCGGGTTAAGAGATATTCCCAACTGCGGCAATGAATTTGTGTGGATAAACTTTCTATTTAGAAGAACAGGTTATTGACAGCTGAAATATAAAGTGAAACAGTATTACAAACTGGCTGTTATTCCAAAACAAACAAAAGGGTGAACCTAGTTTCCCCCACATATGAATTTGATAGGAAACATATTTCGAAGTACTGCAGTACTTAATTACACTTACGGTAAATTAACAGAAATAAAATTCATATATGATTTCAATTTCGATTACAATTTATCTATAATTATAATGAAAGGAAACATTTATTAAACAATACAAGAATGATCTTGAGAAGATGTAATTTTGTTGTCATTTTCTTGGAATTCAGTCTTGGATTTTCATCACAAAATTTCCTGTTTAAAATAGTTTTCTTTAAGTACTTTGATTTCTTTGATTGAATGAGATTCAATTATGAAAGTATTTCCACAACAAAGATTGAATATGTTTTCTGACATTGAAGATTTAAACAAATAAGTTATTTACTCAAAGATTTGAATAAATCTTAAAGTAGATTTTGCTATCAATAAAAAATAGATACTGATAAGTAAAGAGATCAATTTTATAGAGGTTTAATACCTTGGAATTGTGAAACAAATACCTTATACTTGAGCAAACAAATACCTAATATTTGATAAGCAATGAGGAAGACTTATTTTATTTCTCAACTCAGTGTGTACAGTGTCCTGGTTTTTCTTTCTTCAAAATTCAGAATTGTCTGTTGGTTATATTTCGTTATATTTCTCTTGGTTGATATTTAGGTCAAAGTGTAAACATTTAGGGGGAGCAGTTGTCTAGTGGCCTCTTAACTCTGGGACATCTAGGTCAAACTGTAAAAATTAAGGAGGAGCAGTTGCCTAGTGGCCTCTCAACCCAGGGACTGTGGATTTGAGCCCTACTAGGCAGAAAATGTAAATGTTTCCCCTTCCTTATCAACTTAGTGAAAAAAAGAAAATTTCTATCATTCTACTGACGTTCCTTTGCTCGGGCTGGGAAAGGTAAACATAAATATCTTTATCTTTGAACATATGGTCATGAACATGTTTTGTCACTGACAAAATTACTTTTCAGTTCCACGAAGCTTGAATGTTGGTTAAATAAGGTACACGTTTTCTTTACAGTCAGGGTTGAATAAATTATGATAATAGTGAAATCTATGAATAAGCAGCCTGCTGAGAATACAAAGTAAAGCCCTTTCATTATTACAGCTCTCAGAAAGTTGCGAGTCAGCAAAAATTGCCTGAAGGCAATGGACATACATTTTGATTATTACGGCCAAGATTACGTTTTGTTATTAAATTAACAAATTTATTATTTATTTTCCAGTGGGAAGCATTTTGTACTCCCGAGTTGAACAATTTCCTGCGAGTGTTGGACCGCGAGGAGGAGGAGTACATGGCGCAGCTCAAGTATAAGTACAAGGTCATGAAGAGACTCATACTCACTCGTATGAAAGAACTTCGCCAGGAGCACGAGAAACAAAAACGTCGTTCCATGGTGAACGAGTCGACGTCTTGATAAAGTTCGGAGAAACAGTGGAGATACTGTATAAACTTGTGATAAAAAATAAACAAGCATCTGACGGCAGATTTGTACATTACACCCAGCATTTCAAAAAAAGTTAAACTTACCAGATCTGAAATCCTTATTTTATTAAAATTTCGAAACATATGTTGGCAAAACTTAAGTTTGAACTAGGAAATTTTTCTTTTCAGTGCTATACATTATATCAAAGATGAAAGTAAAATTAATTTTATGATAACACTACACTATGCATATAGTGCTGTTTACTTGTTCAGAAAAACTGTGTTGAAATTTTTATGTCAAAGGATATTTTTGTTTAACCGGCCATTTGACATTTTGGCAGATGACAGACAAATTACATATTAACTTGTTTTCTTTGAAAAATATGGGATAAATTTGAAAGGATTTGTATACAAAAATATTGAACTAAAATATGGAAACTATGTACTTGTAAATATTATTATCTGTGCACATGAACTGTAATCATATTATTACACTATGAGGAACATCTGGTGTAAGTATAGATCTGCCAAGATGATCAGCCTATTATAGAAATGCTATTTTATGGCTTTTTATCCATTGTTTTAAATGGTAATCATAAAAAAATCTCGGGACACGATTGTCTTAAAATAAATTTTATCTGTGTTACTTTGTAGAGGTAAAGAGTGATATTTTTAACATAATTGTATCATTATTATGGAAGAGTTGTTGCCCTTGTGAGATTTTTTTTTAAATCTCTTAATTTTTAGACACTGATGTAGGGAACAAAAGCATTAATATATGGTAAATGTATGGTTTTCTCAGAAAAAAATGTGTTCACTTTTATTTTTTCAAAAATGAAGATTAAACAAGTTGTTAAGTTGTAGTTTTGGTGATGAATATAATTGAATTGTAATCCATTGTTACTTGAATTTATAGTTTAAAACAATTTAGAAGGAAAAATTAAAAAAAAAAAAGTAAAATTGAAAATTGCAAGCAACTATAAATCAAACACAGCTATTACTATTGTGTTAAGAATATTATTCTTTACTGTAAATCAATCAAGCGCCACCAAAGACTGTTCAGAAAAAAAAATGTTACAAATTATGATAAGAAACAAGTGTCAAAATATGTGAAAACTTTATTTATAGATTGACTTGTTTGATGTCAGAACATAGATATAAATATATGTACACTGTTGACTTACAGACTTGCAAACACTGCTTGAGAGAGATAGTATCTGAGATAATGGTGATAATCATGATAATAGAATTTTACTTTTTTACCCTTTCTACCCTGAATAACTTAAAACGGATTTGCCCATCTTTCAATTTGGATACAACCATTCATTATTGTAGAGAAATTTTTAAAAATGTTAACTGTAAGACCGAATTGCAACACAGTGCTGACCATGATCTGCCAGCACAGAATGCCAGTTGATCTGTGTCCTCATTTGTAGAATCTGTTGCCTCCATTAGGCTAAAGGTCAAGGATTTATGTTTTTAAATATTCTGATAAAGTAGTTAAATGGGTTATGAATTATCTTCTCCACTCCATGATGTTGTATTTGCAAAGATATTCTCTATTCCGTAAAAAGAGGAAGATTTTAAAAAATCATTATGTGGCATAGTTTTGATAAAAAGAACTTTTATGTGAGGGAAAAATTAAATTTTGGAAATTGAACTTGTAACAAGGAACTTTAATGGGTGGGGAAAATAAATTTTGGAAATTGAATGATCAAAATCACTCATGTGAAGATGCCTGTCTATTCAAGCAGTTTTTGTGTGTTGTTGATGGTCACGAAAGGTTTTTTTTCTTACTTAAATTTAAGGCCATCAGTTTGTACAAAATCTCTGTTGTTAGTTTGGAGATAATATTGTGTACAAATACACATGAGCCGCGTCACGACAAAACCAACATAATGTGTTTGCGACCAGCATGGATCCAGACCAGCCTGCGTGTCCACGCAGTCTGATCAAGATCCATGCTGTTCGCTTACAAACTCTATTACAAATAGAGAAACTGACAGCGAACAGCATGGATCCTGATCAGACTGCGCGGACGCGCAGGCTGGTCTGGATCCATGCTGGTCGCAAACGCCTTACTTTGGTTTTGTCATGACGCTGCTCATATAAACATTCAGTTTTCTGGTAAATTGACACATAAATATATATTAATGTACATACTGATTATATTTATGATAAAAAATATACAGAAAAAAAATGTCTCCTACAAAAAAAGAAGCCTTTATAAATCAACATTCTCTTGCAAAAATTAAAAGTTTTTTAAACTTCACAGAACAAAAGGAAGTCAATTTTAGAAAATGTACGATGACAATATTGTGTTTCTCTTTGTTTTAAAGGATCTTGAAACCAGACTGTTTAACAGTGGTTTGCCAGAATTGGCCAAAATCTAACTTTTTTCACAAGATTTGTTGCTTTATGAAGGCAATTTGTAAAGTATTTTTATGATTTGTTTTTGAAAGGAAGGTGACAGAAAAATACTAGTTTGTTAGTGTATCAGGGGAAACAGTTCAAGAGTCTAAGTTATGTTAGTGTGTAGAGATTACATCCCATGGATTTTTAAAAAATACATGTACCTATAAATTTCTGCCTTGAAATGCAGCAACTTTTTTGAAAAATAAACAAGACCGTGTGAGTAAATCAATTTACTAAGAAATAATTTGCTCATATCTGTTGTTGTTGGTTTTTTTTCTACAAATTTGACAGTTTTATAAGCTATTGCTGTAAAACGCATGGGGGTAATCAACTTATGTTCCGGGGAAGATATGTTCAGATAAATATGTTAAATAAATTTTCGAAATCTCCAAGGTGTGTTAACTATAATTTAAACATCTTGGAAATGCAACATGAAGTTTTGGACTGTGAAAAAAAAAATCAGATTTTAATTAAGTAATATGACAAGGTTTATATATTTGCAAGCAAAATGAGCAATAATTTTGTATATTTTGTTTTCACAGTCAAAATGCTGAACATATTTCCTGTTTTAGTATCTACTTGTTAAGTAGGTCTAATATTAAAATGAACATTTTATATATATATACATGAAAGAGTTGCTGCAATAATAGGGAGAGTTGTTGTTCTTTGATTTCTGTTAGGAAGAGTTATGGCTCTTTAACTCTATTTTTGTTAAAAGAAAATTCTGTCTTGTACCTTTTCTTTAGAGAAATTCTTAGCATTTTTTCTTTGTTGGGACTTTTTCTACGCCTTTGTGTGTTACATCTTTTTATATGTTATGATTTAAGTTAAAGAATATGAGCAATGTTTTTGTATATTAAAAGTTGAATTATTTTTTTTCCTACATTATTATAAATAATTATACATTATAGAAACACAAGGCTGTCAGAAAGTAAGGTAAAAATAAAGAAAATTCAGATTTCCCAGTCAATGATACTTTGAAAGTAAGTTAACCCTTAACATGCAAAATGGACTTTTCTTGCTTCAGATTTGGAATAGTTCATTAATTTTAAAGGGATGTCAGTGTCAAATACAAAAATTTAGAAGCCATCATTATAGATTTGGTCTAGCTATACTGGTGGCCACTAGCATTGTAAGGGTTAAATAGTTTTTGGGCACTTTTATTTTTCTGAATTTGCATTTACTTATTACTGTTATTAAATTGAATGTTTTTTCATAATATAGCATAATAAATTATAATGTGCACGAAATCTCATCTTTTTATTCAGTATTAAACATAAATGTTTTTGTCTTTATGATATTTATCCAAGTTATAATTGTACATTTACACGAATCAATTCATTGTTTATAATTACACACAAATTTTTGACATATTAAGTATACATTATGAGCATACTCGGATTTCAGTCATACATTTACACGAATCAATTCATTGTTTATAATTATACACAAATTTTTGACATATTAAGTATACATTATGAGCATACTCGGATTTCAGTCACAAGTAATTTTAACAAGCAAAGAAATTTGTGAATTTTTTGGTTGATTAAATCATTTGAATAATTTAATTTTGAAACTTTGAGAGTGAGAAATTTTAATTTTTTTTTCAATTGTCAAAATCATTTTTAATTTTGAAATTATGTTATTCAAGGATAAAATGGGTAATGATAAATAGGGTCCAAGTCCACTTTTACGCTATGCATTTTTTTCTGATATTTTTGTATGTGCTTATTACTCAGCCTTTAATGCTATGTAGCGTATTTAACCCTTTCCCCCATGAGCATATCGTCAAAAATGGCCATTTTTACTGAAAAGCCTCCTCTTACAAGTTCAAACTGCTATGAAACTATGAAAAATGCTTCAATACTAATCAAACTTGGCACAAATGTTGACTGGACCATTGCCTTTGTAACGACATGCTCAGTCTTAAATTTCCTGTTACCATGGCAACGAGGGGACATCTCAAAATTGCCAAAAATCACTATTTTGCCTCGATTTTTTCCATCAAAATTTATTTCAAAGTGCTGCAACTTCTCAATGGATTGAGATAGAGTCAAAGGCTTTTCAGCGTTGGTTACACGTTACTTTATGATCAACCTGGGTTCATTTTAAGCCTCTCGCAAGTCCAAAATTTTCTTGGCGATGAGGGGGACTCCGCCCCCCTTCAAACCCCCCAAACAGAAGGGGGCACATCCCCCTTCTGGCAACCCCCTGATGTATTATTTGGATGGGGGACGGCGCCGAAAAAATGGTCACTTTTTTTAACAACATTTCTCAAACGAAAAACAGTGTTTTGGGGTCTAAATAGGACATTTTTTCACTGTTTGAGGCCTCAAAAGGGGGGGGGGCAAAAAGCCGTCGAAACACGCTTATATAAGGGAAAAGGTTAACAAAAAATGATGAAAAACCTTGGAATCACCCAAAATCTAGTTTTTCCATGTTAACATGTGGTCTTTTACCTAATTTTGGTGAAAAATTGTTGTTTTGTAACATTTATATTTTTTTAGTTAACCCTTTCCCCCATGAGCATATCGTCAAAAATGGCCATTTTTACTGAAAAGCCTCCTCTTACAAGTTCAAACTGCTATGAAACTATGAAAAATGCTTCAATACTAATCAAACTTGGCACAAATGTTGACTGGACCATTGCCTTTGTAACGACATGCTCAGTCTTAAATTTCCTGTTACCATGGCAACGAGGGGACATCTCAAAATTGCCAAAAATCACTATTTTGCCTCGATTTTTTCCATCAAAATTTATTTCAAAGTGCTGCAACTTCTCAATGGATTGAGATAGAGTCAAAGGCTTTTCAGCGTTGGTTACACGTTACTTTATGATCAACCTGGGGTCATTTTAAGCCTCTCGCAAGTCCAAAATTTTCTTGGCGATGAGGGGGACTCCGCCCCCCTTCAAACCCCCCAAACAGAAGGGGGCACATCCCCCTTCTGGCAACCCCCTGATGTATTATTTGGATGGGGGACGGCGCCGAAAAAATGATCACTTTTTTTAACAACATTTCTCAAACGAAAAACAGTGTTTTGGGGTCTAAATAGGACATTTTTTCACTGTTTGAGGCCTCAAAAGGGGGGGGGGGGGGCAAAAAGCCGTCGAAACACGCTTATATAAGGGAAAAGGTTAACTCAATTAACACCCACTAACAGGTTCTTGCCATTTTTATTTAAAAAATGTTTAAGAATTAAGGAGATGAAAAAATGAGAATATTTTTAAAGTTTAGAAAGAAAGAAAAAAAATGTCCATTCTTTTATAAATGTTTTATTAGGTTTTTGTAAAATTCCTTATAAATTCCCCTTGCTTACTTAACATTTAATAAACATTTATTAGGAAGTTTACGGTATGTAAATTTTTTTATCAATTATCTTCAGATTCAAGTGAAAATAATTAAGGAAAAAAATGAAAATGTAAATATTTTGTGATATTATTTTGTGCCTTCAAGATATTCTTTAATCAGGTTACTAAATTCTTTTGTGTACATGACTTGAGTCTTGTGGTGTACAGAAAAAAAAATTGAAAAAAAAAATATGAAAAAATTGTAAATATACTTGTATATTTAAGTTGGTAATATGTGACTGAAAAAAAGAAATAAATAAAATGGATGGTAGTTTATATTTTGTGTGATGGCATCGTGTTCACTTTATGATAGAAATATACATGTACATGTCTGAAAATGACTGTTATGCCATGTAGAAATAGGGCTTTCTTTATGGTTGATATTTACAAATATTTCAACCATGTCGTTGTAGAATACATGAGGCAAAAGCTAGGTCTTGGAAAAAAAATTGAAAATTTTACTTGGGAGCAATTTTCTTGGTAATCGATATAAATATGAAAATGTTCCATTTGGTATATTATTTTTGACAAGTTATACATTTGTATACATTTAACATTTTGTATACTTTTAAAATGTTGACTTGTATACATTTAGAATTTGACATGAACTCTTGTCAACATTCCATATATACAATACAGCCATTAGTATATAATGTCTATTTAATGTCTATTTTTTTTTTCTTTCAATACATGTAATAAATTTATAAGTTAAACAAACATGTGTTAAAATAGCTGATCTTAAAAGGAAAAATTGACGACAGTCACAGTGTTTCCAAGTTTGTATTATCAGTCAATGTATTTTTTAGTTTGTAAATCCGCATCTTAATGCAATAACGGGATAACTCATATTAAACTTAATAGGAGTTACCCCATTACTGCATTAAGGTGACAAAATTTCTTTTTCTTTTTTCGCAATGATCTGCTACTAGTCATAATTTATTCCAAATAGTGGGCTTTTCTTGATGCTTTTTTCTAATATCATTTTTAGTTATTTTGTTTCGTTTGTTTTTCGTAGATATTTTTCAAAACTTTAAATGGGTGAAAATGTAAAGTTTACGAGTTTGTGGACTTGAAAATTGTGTTATGAAATTGAGATTATTCGGATTATTGTAGTCGATTGAAAAATGTTTGATTTTCTTGTAATCATTTTTTTTCAATGAAGAGTTTGAATTGTTTACACAGAAATACAAAATACTGTGGAAGTTATCAAAAACTAAAATTTATCTTTAAAAAAAATTATAAAAAATTGGCTTTCTGCTCTTAATGAAATATTGTGAAAGTTACTCAAACTTAGAAAATTATCTTTAAAATAAAAAGAAAATTGGCATTCTGTTTCAGTTTATAAGTTTATCAATAAATGCTTTTCTTTCTTAAATAAAACTCTTATCATAATAAAATGTCCATAAACATTTGTAAATATATTAAACCACATGCTTTTTTTTTCTTCAGAATTTCTATATTAAATTACACACTTTTTTCTTTTTCATTTTTTATAT